AAAAAAAAAAAAAAAAAAAAAAAAAACAACACCCGTGAGCAACAAACCCCTGGGCACTAGAGTCGCTTTTATTTCCCCAGCATACTTGTTGCCGTCACAATATCACGTTTTCGTTATCATTTTTACAATTCGTCCGAATCTCGAAAATATAGTCACGGTTGCCAGCGTTTTATTGCATTTTTACAAATTTCGTTTCGGTTATTATTTTTTTTAAATACATTAACGCCCATTGGCCGTCACGTCCGCTCTTTATCTGCACGGTCCAATTCGTTTCTTCGGATGTAAAAAGTAGCCTATCCTAACCTCCCAATAACGATATAAGGCGGATTGAACAAAAACAACACACTACGCTTGTTACGCTTACACAAAATGTCATCTCCCCGGCTTCGTTTTCTTCGGGGTCCTACAGTGGTGCACAAAACTGAAAACAAAAAAAAAAAAATATCACACACACGTATCGCAGCGACGGGGAAAATTCGACAAAAAGAACTTTCGCGAATAAAATTAATACACATTCATAACGGCTGCAGCCTGTGACGCTCCGCGGAGTCGCACTCGGGTTGATATTATTGCACCGTTCGGATTTTTCGACCTCGAATATTATCACACGCTCCGTTCGTATTTTATGTGCATAACAGCAGTGACAATTGCGTTGAGTGTACACCGGGGAAAGACCGATAAATTCGGACGCGCGGTGTAGATCGGCTGGCCGGATGACGTTACCCGCGGAGGGAGATTACTTCTAATCACGTGCGTTTCGTCGTGCGCCGTCCCGCCGTACTCGGGTGTTTCCCGTAACCATGCCGTCCCAGCACCCGCGTATGTTCCGCGCTTCGTTAAACTATTCCGGCCCGCCGCACGGTTATTATCCGGGCGAGTTTCCGCTGTCGACGTTTCCGAAACGCTGTTCGGCGCGGATCAAGGCGCAATCGGGGGGGGGGAGGGGAGGGCGCGCGCGCGAGAGCTACGGCGGCGCCCGCGGGGAAACTCACTAGCCGGCCACGCGGGTTTCAATGCGTCAAAGACCCGACGATTCAAGCCGTTCGTATGAATCGCTGTTAATGCTGTCAGCCGCGCGTGCACGCAGTATTACCACGGATCCATTGATAAACGTGTCCGCGGATCGCCGGGCAATCGCCGCCGGGCGCTCATGAGCAAAACGTTCGCCGGGGTGTGTCGCGTCATTCCTACAAGTACCGCGTTCGCCGCCGGCACCGGCGCGGTGCCGTTGTTCGCCCCGGAGCTCGGTGCCGCTGTCCGGAAACCGAACGCTAAATATGGGCCGGTGGATCCCGGCGCGGGCCGCCGCAGTACGGATTTTTCCCGGTCGGCCGGCGGCGACGGCCTCGGGACGCAACGCAAATGCGCGGACACGCGGTGCGATAACCGCCCGGTAAAACCGAACACCGGGCGCACGCGCGACCCACCGGTTATTGATATGCTGCGATAATTTTAATCGTTTTTTTTGTTTTTTCCGGCTGGAATTCGCCGAACGCGCGCAGATTCTTGCGTGTCGTCGACCCGGCGCCGTCCGTCTTGCGCGGGCGCCATTCGTTTTTTTATTTTCTCTGTGTCCAAACAACATAAAAACTGTTCTACCGGAAGTACCGCTCTAATCGAAAAATGACACGATATCGATTTTGATCCATTTAGCCGCGCTGACGGTGAAAGTCATTATTTCCGATATGTAATGTGGTTTTCCACGATAATTGGAAAGGCCGACGGAAACGAAGGACAAGACGATTTTTTTTTTTTAACTATGGTGGGACGATTTCGTTGGATGGAAATTTGTTCAAGATCATATTTTTCTACCAGAAATGTTTATCTAAATTTCGAGAATAGTCCGGTTTGTGAGAGTTTGCGAGTAGGAATTTGCGTCGTTTGATTTTCCGTACAGTTTTCCTGTATAATTACGAGAAACCCGGGAAAAAACATAGGAAATATACGGCAATGTGTACGGCATTTGGGTGTTTTGTCGTTTTTCGATTAAAAATTACTGTACTTTCGTAATTTTATATGTAAGTTTTTAGTTTGGTTATTAAATCTGTTATTAAAATTATATAACTCCAAAGAAAGGCTTGAACATTTAACATAGTGCACATTGTGAGTTGTACTTATTGTTCAGAAAAGCAAATTTTCGCATAATGCATTCGATTTTTTTTTCTTTTCCATAAGCGTTTTACGATCAAATGTTGACGAAAATCCCAAAACGTACGGCATTTAAAAATACATACGATCTGAATCCCCACCGTATTCGACGAAGTTTTTTAGCGCTGTTAATATCAAATTTTTTTTTTTCAACCGGTTTATCTTCGAGGGAGACATCGATTTGGAGAAAAATTAAATTTTTATTTTCATCCCCTAAACACAAAAAAAAAACTAATTTTTTATACATTCACTTTAGAAAATTTTCAAAATAGCTATTTTGTGAAAAAATATTATTCTGAAAATTTTAATGCATGATACATTCATATCCGATTAATAGTTTCTTAATTAAAGCCGTTTAAATGTCTAGAAAATAGGCGTGAAAACAATTAATATTAAATAGGAAGCAAAGAATTACCGTACTGATTGTAAATTCCCTATCACATAACGTGTTATTTTATTGAATATTAATTGTATTCACTCCAAGTCAAAACGGCTATAACTAAGAAATTGTTCATCGGATTCGGATGTGAATGTAAGATAAATTTAAATTTTTAGAAAAATATTTTTTTACAAAACATCTGTTTTGAAAGTTTTCTAAATTTTCCATAAAAAGTGATTTTATTTTGTGTACAGGGGATGGAAAAAAAAATTTAAATTTTCTCCAAACCGATGTTCCCCTCGAAGACCAAGAAAAAAAATAATTGAAAAAATTCAATTTCAACAGCGCTAGGGAAATCCGTCGAATATGATGGTGGCGGGGCACACGGTGTATGTTACCGAACATCGTTCCGGATCGTTTTCCGTGAACAACGGTGTTAACTTTGCGTACAGTTTTTTTGAATTAAATAACATTGCGTACCCTGCGTGTTTCCAACTTTCTATCCACAACAGCGCCTACGTGCCTGAATCGAAAGAGTTACGTTTTGTATTCTTACGAAAATGTCGAATAGGCGGGATACAAAAACCCAAATAATAGTTTTGTTATAGCTTTGTTCGGAATAATTTTTATGAACGCAGTATGCATATTATTTTAGTGTTGGTTTGCAGCGCGAGCGCACTTTAATAATATATTCCGCGTGACAACATACTCTTTAAACGCTCTTTAAAAATATCTCCTCGAGTGGCCTACTGCTCCTCAAACGTGATGGCCTATTTATACTTTTATATCGCGCGAAACGTGTTCGCGTTGGTTTTAAATTTATTACCGCCCAGACAATATTATATTATTATATGAGTTTACGGGCAACTGAAATTTATTAATATTTAATAACAATTTTCATTTATCGCTCACGATTGTTATTAACTGTCTAGTCGGAAAAATCGAAAAGGAAAATGTCTATGTTGATTTTATCGACATTTTTATAAAAAAAATATGTAAAAAACTGATCGTCGTAGTCGTATGCGGTTTGTGTCTTATATTTACAAAAACCTAAATTTACATATTTGTGAATGTTTTGGTACACATAATAATAATAAAAAAAAAAAATCGATTGTACAGAACTATAGAGCACAGTTAAATAATCGAAAAAAGTAAGAATTATAAAGGTATTTACTACATGTTTTTTACGGTTTTCGTCAAAATTTAATCTTAAAACGCATATGAAAAAAATATCTAATGCATTAAACTTAAATTTGTTTTTAAACCACTAAGTATATAACTTATAATATACCTTGGGGTAAATTTTCAAGCATTTATCTTAAGTCGTATAATTTTAATAACAGATATCTACCAAATAAATAATAAACATAAAAACACGAAAATATCAAATACGTTTACAAAAGGCCATTATAAGTATTCTGTAGAAATTACAGGCCTCTACAATAATTTTTCGTTATTAATTTAAAAGTGTCGTACACTTTGCCGTGTTTCTTATGTTTTTCTCAGTTTTTTCATAATTATTAGTAAAACTATACGAAAAATCGCATGATTTTCTTCTTCACAGATTTGGCAAAATTGTCTTTCAAAAATTATCCAAACAAAGATTTCTTGCAGAAAAGTTGTTCACAGACAGAAAATAAAAACATCATTTTAAAACCAGTGGATCCTCACTACGCTTTGAATCTAAAAAATAAAGTTAAATAAATAAATAATGAATAATTAATAAAACATTTAGTTAAATTGGTTTGCGTGGTATTTTTTTCGCGAGCTTTTTATGATCTGATTAAATTGATATACGAGGAGTTCTGAAGAATTTTGTGAAATGATCATCAATTAAATTTAAACGATACTTCGACCAAACTATTTGTATTACTGAATAAAGCGATTCACACGAATACGTGGCGCGGTGCAATCATAAATACTAATTTTACTGCACAGTTTTTAATATTTGGGTATTTTAAAATAGTAACATGCTTCTAAAATTCTTATATAGAAGGGCACTGGGCAATTGATTTTAAACTATTCAAATCATTCATCTTCTAATCAATTTAAGAGTTCTATTCGTGGATCCGCCTTTTTTTTTCATAATATGATATTATATTGGCCATCAGTTTTCAATGACATTAACTAAAACGACGGACATACTTCACACGTGAGTGGGCCACCGTAGTAGATGAGAAGTTGGGAAGGTAGTAGAGGGGAGATTTAATATATATCTGTGAGCAACGATAAACCATTGCTAACGAAAAAACGATTCTGAGCAAAGTTCAGTTGGTAGTGTTGCTTGTCAACAATATATATATGGCATATATTTACCATATTATGGCAAAATAATTACATAGACGTTATATATTTTCGTTAATAATATTTGTTCAATATTGTACCTGTATTCCCAGTTTTCACATGATTTTTCCGGCTATTCCAATTTCCTGGGAAAATCGAAAAATTACATCTTTAATATAGTACCTCCCCAAGTCAGATTTCATTTTAGAAAAATTATTATTATTGTAAACCGGAGCAAGATTTCTGGTAGAAAAGTTGCGCACAAATAAAAATAATAATAATAATCAACATCTTTTTAAACCATTAGTTTCTTTGCTCCACTCAGAAATCTAAACGAAATTTTTTATCTTCAATCAATAATATGTGAAACTGTTGAAACGAATTAAAAAATAAAATGAGCCACTCACGTTATCTTGATTTTCGACATTACAATTATTGTCCGATAATATTGCCCTACCTAAAGTACCTATGCATAGTCGAGTTATTACTTTAAAAATGTATGTTTTTAAATGAATTTAGCATGTACAAATATTGAATAAAATTTTAAAATTTTAAAAATAAACTCTCGAAAAAATTAAGACAATACCTTCAAAACTGGTTGAAAATGCAAAATTTAATTTGTTATTCTGATTTAAAAAGTAAATGAAACAAATTTGATAATCGCATGTCAAGCTTTGTAAAACAATGCAAAGGGCAATTAATTTCCAACCTTCATGATAATATGCATATTTTTAGGTCCTACAGTATAATAAATATATGATGATTTATGTTTTTTTTTTTTTTTTTAAACCAGGGATGAAATACTCATCTTTATACAAGTCACCGTATAGTAAGCGCACAATGAAGTTTTAATACAATACATTTATGCGAAATAATAACATTTTGAAACTTCACATCCATATGGTGCAGGTAAAACGAGATAACCTAACCGAATAGAACGAAAACTTAAAAATTATCTATTTACATATATTATATTATACGTGTGATTAATATAGCTTTAGGATGTCGGAAAACGAGAGAAAAAAGAGATCGCAATGTATAGACGTTTGGGAAGAAGCCGGCTCAGAATTCTATCAAGAAAGCTATCCAGGTATGGAAGCGGATTTAGAAGCGTTCCAGAGAAACCCGAATAAGCTCTCGACTCTGTTGCCTAGTAACAAAACAAGAACCGCAGGTACGGAGTGCAATATAAATACCTATGTATTTTCCCATTTAGACTCTGTTTATTGATTCTACAAAATAACACTTTTTTAATTGAGTTGTATAGACAAAAATTATCTATTTTTTTTTTTCGTGAAGTTTACTACACAGATTCTATTGGCATCGAGATATTCAAAATAAATTCTAAGTAGTAAAAAAAAAAGTATAATTTTTTTCCTATATGCATAAATAAAATAAAACATTTTTAAAGTGAATTATTATTTGAGAAAGAAATAATTCTATCTAATAATATTTACATATTTTAAAAATGAAAATTGTATTATATTAACAATGGCCCAATAAAATGACTAACAGTGAAAAAATCACTACAAAAATGTTCTTCAAAACATCAATTTTGAAAAAGTTTCTACAGAGATTTTTCTTTAAAACTTTTATTTTATTTATCAATACAACATTTTTGATTTGATCTATGGTCATCAAAATCGATTTAAATTAAGAGCACAACTTTTTCCTATCATCCTATCAAATTAAAAATAAAATAATAACACTCGGTGTTGAAATATTATGCATTTTAAAATTTCATAATGGTTCTCCAGAACAATTTCAAAACTGTGACCCAGAACTTTATTCGATATTAAGTTACGATTTATTATTAGTGGGACTAAGATTTATATGAAATAAAAACTTGTAAAATGTGCATTTTATTTACCAAAATATGTAAAAACAATTTTTTTTTTTATTTCTATACATTTTTTTGTTTATTTTGGTTTTCTAATGTATTTTTGATGAAAGAGTGTTTAGATTTAGCTTGTAAAATAATATTTTTTGTATGCTTGTTTGTATTTTAATGTTGTGTATGAAAATGATACTGTTATTAAAACCATTAAAATTGTTATATATAGATATTCGTACCTTTATGATTAATAATGAAATGAAATACTTCTGTACTGTCTCACTGTATACGTAGGTACGTCGTTCAATAACGAGTAGGTAATTCTATCGGTCGTCCGACCAAGACAAACTTAGAGGGGTAGTATATTTACGAAAATTCAAAAAATAACCCAATAATTTTAGACGTTCATTAAATAAAAACCATATAAAATTAACAATATTACAAACTCAAGCTTAAAAAAACGTCCTAGTATAATGGGAAAGGTGCAGACACTGTTATAGATAATTTAATGTATACCTGTAAGCAATGATAAACCATTAATTCCGGAAAAATGATTCTGAGCGGAATTCAGTTGATAGTGATGCTTTGTCAACATTTAATAGCGAAACAGTTAAATAGGCTATATATATATATATTTTCTTTAATAATATTTATCTAATTTTGTATCGATTTTCCCAATTTTTCTACGTTTTTCCCGATTTTTCCATGTCTTATCCCGGCTTTTCACATTTGATGAAAAAACTCCTTATAAAATCCAAAAATGATTTCTTTAAAGTACTTCTCCAGTAAAATTTTTTTTCAGAAATATTACCATCATTAAATATTGGAGCCAAATTGCTGGTAGAAAAGTTGTCAAAAGAAAAAAAAAACCGTAATTTATATTTATTTTATTTCATAAATTTTCCCGTTTTTTTCGGTTATTCAAATTTGATGAGAAATCTCTTGAAAAAATCGAAAAAATGTCCATCTGCTTAAAGTACTTCCCCACATCGATTTCCTTTCAGCTGTTACACGTAGAAATCCGAGCAAGTTTTCTAGTAGAAAAGTTGTACACAGTAAAAAAAAAAAAAATAATAAATATCTTTGTAAAACTATAAGCTTTTTCGTTCCATTTAGAACCTAAAATTAACAAAATTACTTAAAAATCTATAAACGTACTATTATATGCATTATGTTTAAAATATACGAAAATATATAAAAAAAAAAAATGTTTCTATTTAGGTAATCGAGAATAAGCCAATACATAGACATATCTGACAACCAGTCAATTTCGACTTCGATTCGAGGAAAAAAGCATGCGAATGCGTATAAATCCTATCCCTAATTGTTACAAATTTTTTATTTACATTTGTCGTAAAATTGAAGAGGAGATAATAATAGTAATATAAGATAATCACATCCATAGGTGTGAATAGACTTTTTCCGCAGCGGCAACCTAGTTAATGACCGGCGTCACTTAATGAACCAAACAAATCCCCTTTAAATAGGGGGGAAGGTTAGTCCCCCCTAATTAAATATTTTTATAATTAAAAAAAAAGTCTGTATTATTTATTTACAATTAATAATGTATAATATTTTCAGTACTTTGAAATTTAACTACAGAAATATTATTCAGGCCTGGATTACACCGTCATAGATGTATTAACTGTTATATAGAATAACAAAAATGATCGACTGATAGAAAATAATATTTTGTTATAAGTAACAATGCATAAGACATTTTTATTTTTAATAAAAGTCGTAAGCCACTAGACGTACAATTTGGTTGACCGGCACCTTTTGAAAATTCCAGGGACAGCCCAGGCACCCTAGGCTGCCACCGTTGACACGCTTATGATCGCACTCAATAGTATTGTACAATATAGTTTAGGTAGTAAAACAGGAGGATTATTCGAATGAAATAATTTTATTCGATTTCACTAGGTATTGTCCCATACAGTCCACGATAAACCATACACATCTTTGAATGCCGTTTTAAACAATATAACATAATATTTTTTAATATTACTAGTTTAGATTTCGAGTAAAACGGACATATTATAGTTTTACAATGATATATTTTTTTTCTCGCGGAATACGCTTTTTCTTCGGTATGTGGAGTAAAAGTATTTTCTCTAAAGATGTTGATTTTGGGCCCGATGGTATTTTAATGGAAAATGGTTCTTGATTCTCAATAATTTTTCTATACAAATTTTTTGTATGTTTTTTTGTTAAAACTCTTTCAATGAATAAATGCTAAGCTGTCTTCATGCAGTATCTCAAAAGCCGGCGTGGCGGTAAATTATTTGAAAATTTGTCAAAATTGTCAACAGTTAAACTACCATAGAATTTTTTTTCTTTTTAGTTTTTTATAATTTCTGGGTTACCTTGGAAAAAAAATAAACCACGATATTAATACTACTCCGTTCAGAATCTTTTTCCTTTTGAAAAAATGTATCATCGCTAACTATATTATATACTAACTAAATTATCCTCATAGTCTCGACTATACTTTTCCAATTAATTACCTACTGCAACGGTGGTGCGAAGTATGTCTGGCTTTTTAATTCGTATTCTACGATAATTTTACTAGTGTATGGAAATAGCAATTTTTGAAAATTCCAATTAGTGGATAATCTATGTTCGACGGACGCATTATTTCAATGGAACTTTATTTGTTTAAAGTTATGCTCGACTGGTTGTACCGTTATAAGTACCTACAAGTGTTTTTGTGTAAACCGCGCACGGATAGTTTATTCGGCACGAGTGAAGTTTTGTTTTGGGGTAAATTTTGATAACGCCCAAAATAACAAACCGAAAATATTGAATAGAATTGATTAATCTTAATTACAGCATTATACACTAAGAATGAGCGCTTCGCATAATCAAATTATCGTAAAAACGGAATAAACAACAGAATGGTCTACGGTGGATACCGAGGCGAAACGACTTGGAAATTCATTATTATTATAATACGTTTTGAAACAAATCGTTACGGGTACTTCAAGTTGCATAATAATGTTATTATAAATAAATAAAAAAACATCGAAATTGCCTATGTAAAACGCCTTCGAATCGTTAAATTACGACTGTTTGTATTTGAAATTATATGCTGCAATGCAAATAATAAAGACTGTATAGAGTGGGTATTTTTCAAATAATATTTGAATATATTAATAATAACGTGATGTTGAAATTAGTTTTTCCCTCCTAACTAAACGTAGGAAATTAAATTCGACTAAACGAATATGTTATTAAGTAGTTGTTACCGAATTTCGTTTTAGTTCAGCACTTTACAGATTGTGCTGTTGGAATAAATTAAACTATTGATGTTTTGTTTAAAACGGACAACAGGTAGGTAAACTAGTATTATTTAAGCACGACATTCGTGGTTATTAAAATCGATTCGCGGTTGACGTTTGATAGGTTTCACTTTCGTCGATTTTCTGGGGTTTTCGTTCGCAAATGAATTCACCCAAAACACTCATAAGAATGCACATTGCACAAAAAAATTGGTTATTTTCGTATTTCGGGAATTGAATATAATACGCTATTGTCGATGATTGGTTGGCTCCCCCTCACTCCACAACATGAACATATCGTGTTTTTATCGTAATTTTTTGGTTTTACATTTTGTACATCTTTTATACCAAAAACTATGCACCAATCGAAACGTAACAGCATAGTATTTTTGTAGAATTTTGAATTTAGTCTGTACATCGGGGAAATTAATTTTTTTATTTTTCAAGCTATTTTCATAATAAATGGATGAAATAAGAAAACACTTTTTGGAAAACTGGAGAAATGTACGACAATAACGGTTTCATTATATTTCGACATTATTTTATTGTTATAATTAGGTTAAAAAAAATCAATATTCATAGAATGATAGTATTGGCGTTTTCTCGACGTGGTTTTCAAAACATTCTGACTGTTTTCAATTATTTGACATTTTCGAATTTATTTTGTTTTATGTATATAAATTTGGCCGAGTAGAAATATTCGAACATTGTACTCGAAGTTTATTAGACCAAATATTTGAAAATTTAAAACGATGTTTATTATAAGTTATATTGGGGGAGGGGGGAGGAAGAGTTGATCGCTATGTAGTCATTTTTTTTTGATAAGCATTGAAGTTCAAATGTTAATCCAAACCGTGTTTAATTGAACTTCATTCAGAATAGTATTTTGTTTGATTTATCATTGTTTACAGTTATAAATCAAATAACTTTATACATCTACTTTTTCATGTTTCCATCTAGAACACTGGAACGCCGACCTTTAGCAGTATCGGCTATTTGTTTTCTTTTTTATCTAATATAATATATTAACAATGTGTGTAAATGTTATATATTTTTCAATAGTGTTGTACAGAAACGGTTTCTCTATGTTATAATTATACATAATATAGCCGAGTATAAAGTTTTAACTAACAATGGTTTGAAGTGGCTCGTTTAATTGATATTTTACATATTATTTTATAATGATATCCACTGAAGTAGTATTGTGTACCTATTTTATAATAATATTATAATCTTTTGTGTATTGTATTCCGCAGCCAGGAAAAAAATCAATAACGGAAATGTACAGTATCAAGCAACAGCCACCATTAAACCGGCGGAATACGGAACTTTGGGTCAAAACACTATCGCTTGTAACAACGAAATTCAAATATCGCTTATGCCCGATTTATCTGGTAAAAATAAACAATATTTTTTTAAAAATAAATTATACAAAAAGAAAACTATACCAAGAGCTTCGTCACTATAGATTCGAATTTTCTCCCGATTATTTTTTATGATAGAAGTATTCTTTGAAAAACGATAAAATTCGAATAAGTACTGTAATAATAGAATAATTATATTATTCTATAATAATTATATTATTCTTATAAAACAAAAAATTATAATTTGATTCTAAAAATAGTCGGAGGAATGGTTGGTTAAAAGATGAAAACTCTAAAGGCACATCCTTGATACTTACAACGTGCGTATATAAAATTCTATGGTTTTGATTTAGTTTGTGGTGGGGTTGGTAGAGCTTATAGAGTGTTTAGAGGTAAAATAATACTCTCATATCATAAAAAAACTGTAAAATACAACCCGACTTGTATTATTTAAGTCCGTTGCCAAAACAAGTCTAATTTCCGAATTTCAGCTCATTTGGTCCAGGGAAGTCACTATAAGTGTCCAAAAGTAGATAGAGGGAAATAATAAAATAGTGTATTCATAATAAGCATAAAACGATATGAAACATAATATATAAATATAGTGTCTGTTTTTGAGGACAATCTGACAAAAACAACAATCGTTATAATTTTTAATCGGTTTTTTTGTTTTCATATATATTTAGAGAATTTATCCAACGAAGAACTTATATGGGAAGAAATTATGAAAATTAAAACAATGCCAATCAGCATGGCTCACAAAAAAGAATTAAAAACAAAACTAAAAGTAAGTATTGCGTAACGTTTAATGTGCGTTAAAAAACGCAAAGATAATTAGAAATAAACAAACTTAATTATACATTTTATAATTACTATTAAGAGAGAAAGCTTTAAAATACAAACACCGGTATTTAACCTGTCCGCCTGTTTTCAACTTTAATATACACGTCTATAAAAAAAAAAAAAAACTCTGAAATACAATAGTATACTAAAATCACTTGTTTATATCGAACGAAAAAATAAAAAGTTTGCGTCACTGATTTTATGACAGTCCTATCGGTTGTAAATATCCATTAAATGTAATTTACATGTAAATCCCATTTTAAAAATATATAAAACTGAATTCATAGCACAGAATTATACTATAAATACACGTGTGTCTACTTTATTTGATATTTTTATTTTTCGCTATAGACCCGAAATAACCGACCATAGTATTATAGAATATTACAAGAATGAACGAGGTTTAGGGTGCTGACGATGAAAGAATATTATAAGAAACTATAGATACGTAATTTGAGATTTTTACTTAGAGTGAACCGAACAACTGTTGCCCGCACACTTTTCTCCGACCTTCTTTGATGTGCATTACCCTGTACGCAATAACAAAACCGTATCAGTCACATTATTTTAATAGTTATTCCAGTATTCAACAATATAAATTTTACATTAAAACATCACTTTAGTACTTATAATACTAATATTATTACAAATATAATAATAATATATGTGCATTCTGTGTTAAAATTATAATCGCCATAGTTACATTTTTTTTTTTTTTTTTTTAAATCATTACTCGATATATACTTCCCTTAGATTTTTAATTTATAGAAAAACAAATTAAAATTGGCTCTAACATTAACATTTTGTTTTTAAATTCAAAAAGCGCACCATTTGATGTCGTCACCGATGTCTTTGAAACGAAAGTTGTTTTGAAAATATTACGATATTTTTAATGGAGTTAACTAAATGAGATTTACTATTTTTTAATAATAAATAATAACACATGAGTAATCCTAGGAAAATATTCCACAGTTTGATGGGTTATGCAAGCAGCTAACACGTTTGCGAAGGGTTAACACTTTTTATTTAATTGTGTTTATGGCCAGGTACATAATATTATGTACTTCCTTGTGAGAGTTATGAACTTGCAAAAATAAATAAAATAACTTTGAGTGATAAACTTTTTTTTTTAAATTAAGTCATTCAATTCACTTGATCTAATTTTAAAGCGATAATATGTTTGTCGTTGCTTATTTATTAAAATTATTAAATAAATATAACCAATATATAACTAATTATTAATTATAAACAATAATTACCTTCAATATAGACGGTGATTTTTTTTTTTATCGTGAACCACTAACTAGCAATTATCTCGAAAGATTTTTAGTGAATTCGATTTTGGTTTTTTTTTTAACCATTATGGAATCGGTTAAACTTTATTCTAAAACCATTTTCATCGTGCCTGTCTTTTTTTTTCTTATTGTATTTCGGTTTCAATAATTCAATCTTATTTGAATTGTTTTTACAGGGCCTAATAAGAATAATAAACAAAATAAACCTAATATAACTTCTACCGAGTCATCAGGTTAACTAAAATAATCAAAATATTTCTTTGAGACGATAAATTATTTTGTTTAAATGTGTGCATATACAGTGAAACGTCCCTTAACGGACACCTCTAAATAGCGGACGTCTCCAAATAGCGGACAAAATTTCAACGACCGAGAATGTCCGATATTTAAAGGTTTCATTATAGCTGTATTAATTTGTCTTTTTTTAATTTTTTTTTTTTGTTAGAGCGCAGACGCATTTCGACTGCAAGGTCTCCAGCAACTCAAATGGCAAAAACGAAAGGTCTGCATTTGCTTGAAAACAAAATGGGTGGAGTTCTATAATAGATTTCATTTGTGGAGGTCCAGTCTGAAAATAGTCGAGGGTCATTGCGGTACGGGCGTAGTGGAATTTTTTGTTTTTATAAAATTGTTGATTTTCCTGAACGCTTTCACTTTGGTCGTCATTTCCGTTCTATTGATACTGCCATCGACCTATTGGGTAGAATTAAGAGAAGGCGTCGGGCCAGACATGTGGAACGAGTGTGGGTCGAGTAATGAGAGTGCGTCGATCGAGTGTTGCAGTGCTATCTACCAGAACGCCACCCGATTGGCCAGACCCCGCTTGAACATACATTACGTCATGGACGTTATACAGGGTACGGGCTGGGTAGAAACAATGCCGATGTACTATAGTTATTATCCAAACAAGCGGTTTATGGTTGGAGAATTGTTTACGTATCACATATCGTTGGCGTACGTGGTGTCGGCCATCAGCTATTTCGTTTTGTTTTTCCTGATCATCGTCCGGAAATCGATTAAGGGATTCAAGCAAAGAATGATTGAAACACAAGTGCAATATTATCTGTACTCGAATAGTATATTCGTTGGATGGGACTTTTGCATCAATCACAAGATGTCAGCTGTGCTGAAGCAAAAAGCAATATACGACGAATTGCGTTCGTTTTTGATGGCCGACCGATCGAAATATGACAAGAAAAATCGAGGCAAACGTCACACAAACGTTACGATTGTCCGGATACTCATATCGCTCCTGGTGTTCACCCTGATTGGGTCCGCTTGCTTCTCGGTGTATATGATATTTCACTACTCGATCAAGTTATTACAACGTGAACAAACATTTTTGTGGGCGTTTCTGTTGGAATTTTCCATGCCTGTAGCCATAACGTTTTACAACATCATGTTGCCGATCATTTTCGATATTTTTTTGAAATTCGAAAACCGTTCCATGTACGAGGAAAGCCGCACATGCATATTTAGAATAATATTCGTCAAACTATCGCTGTTGACGGTACTGTTGGGCTCTATCTACAAGCTTATCCACTGTGTCCGAGAAAAATCTCAGTGTGCCAGCGCGCTGTGCAATTCTCCGCTATGCTGGGAGACGTACGTGGGAAAGATCATGTATAAGCTGCTGATCGTAGACGTGGCGTGTAAGATCGGCATAACCGTGTTAATCAGCTGCCCGCGGAGCATACTAATTAGACATTTCAAGAGCAACCTGTTTCAGGTGATATGCGAACAGGAACTGAACCTGGCTAAGCATGTGCTGGACGTCATCTACGTTCAGATAATCGTGTGGCTGGGCACGTTCTATGTGACCCTATTACCAGCCATGGGTCTGGTGTCTTTGATCATCATGTTCTACATCAAGAGGTTTACGTGCATCGTCAACTACAGCCTAGCCCAAAAGGTGTATAGTCCGTCCCGTACGCACACCATGATCATGTCCATGCTGCTCATGTCATGTGTACTATGCGCGGCCACGTGGCTGGCGGCAGTGTCCAAAATAACGCCATCTCGATCCTGTGGTCCGTTTAAAGGACTGCCGTCTGTCTGGAGAGTGGCGATGGACTTTATACGTACCACTCCGCAGTGGGCAGTGACCGGTTACGAAATATTGACCAGTGCTAATTTTGTCCTCTCGTTGATATTCACATTGCTATGCGTCGTCTATTACTATCACACTGTGGTGAAGTCCAACAAGAAGATGATCGTGGTCTTGCGCAAGCAGCTTGTGCTAGAAGGACACGACAAACAGTTTCTGTTAAACCGGTTGAGTGTGTTCATTAAACAACAGGACAAACGGCGCAAAGCCGCCGAGAACAATGGCGAGATGGATGTATTACTCTCTTAATATTCATGGACAACTGAAAATTTGTATTTTAAATTTTAAATTTCTAGGGTGCTCATTAATATTGTCGTACATTAATTACAAATGTAATTTTAAACTCCTTATGGTTGATAGTTCGGTGTTTACCAAACAGTTTATATTGTATAAAATATATGTATATAGGTAACCAGCATATTTTAAGTTAAACTATTTGTCATTATTATTATTAATAAGGTCTTAGAAGATAAGGAAACACAGTTCTCTCTTCTTGGTTCCGCTTGGTTTAGAGTCGAAAACGGTTCAAAACTTATTTTATGTGATATTTTTAATTTATTTGGCATATTGTTAAAATGTTTTATCATAATTGACAGGAAATGAAAATGAAGAAAACCATATTGTAAAATATTTGCAGAATATTACGTATCTTATAATTGTTTAATATTGAATATGTTAATATTATAATATTTAATATTTGAAGGTACCCACTTTTTAAATTCAAAGTCCAGCTATAGGATTTTCCTGAAAATTGATATCTAAGGGTATTTGGGCACAAGAAGTTAATCGGACATGGTCTCTTTCTGGGAAAATTTTATTAAGTGCTTAAATAGAGAAACAAAATTCGTAATTCACATTAGTTTAAATCAAAAAATTTAACTTGACCCTATAGTGTAGTCGGCTTCATATTATATGGCATGAGACATTGTGTGGTGATCTGTGAGTCCCTACTTACCAAATTAAAAAAATAATTTATTTTAAAGGATAATGGTTCTCGGAGTTTAGAAATAAATTATACTATGCTATTAAATTTATTAATACTCGTGACATACAAAAGTTGTACTAAAATAGTGATTTTTAGTAATTTTAAATTTCATCAGCTAATGTAGGTAGTCCTCAGCCTATTGAAAGTGCTCTAAGTGTCAAATATTGTAGTAGTATCAAAAATGTTAGAACTACTGGCATTTATAAAAATATATATTTTACCAATATTTTAATAATAATCATACTCTTGCTCAATTTGACTACGGTAAAAATTGTGAATGTTTTTCTGTCTGAACAAGCGGAACAGTGGTTGGTAGTAGTTGGAAGACAAACAAATCTTCTGCATTCATTTTATTTTATTATATCTTCTAAACCCGTAATCGACGTGATAATATTCCATTTGTTTATTTAAAATTCTATACGTATCTAATATTATACTTCATTTATATTTTTAAGATTTACGTTTTATTTGTAAATTGATCTGTTACTCTCGTGAAAAACATAAACTGTTGTTAAAATATTTGAGTTTATAATAATAATATTGCTGTCTTGTGAATTGTATTATTGTATTAATAGTATGATATTATATTGTACGAGTAAATCGAATTCTTTTCAAAGGCACAATTTTGGAATATTTATGTTTAGATGTCAGTTTATTTATAAATTGATAAATTATATATGTATACATATTATATTATATATTATATATGCATAAATTCAAGCCCGTATTAAGAGGAGTTAAAAGGAAAATGGTCTCCAGATCACAAATCTTCAAGACTCCAAGGCACTCAGTTTTTACTGAGGTGTTTTCTTTAACTGTGCAATTAAACATTAAATTTGTATTTTAATAATTTTTCGTTACCTGGTGATAATGGCTTATATATAAATATTCAATGTATAGGAATAAGTGGAAACTTTACATAGGTACTGCCTAGTAACTTTATATATATAAAAAAATATATCTATCAAGTAATAATTTTTTTTTTTTATATGTTCTTTTTGGGGGTTCCGTTAAAAAGTTTGGTCCTAGGATTTCTAAATATCATAATTCAGACTTGTATGTATACGTCACAGATAAATATTATAAGTGAAAAGTTTATTCAAACCCTTAGTGATTTCGTTAGTACTTCGATAGCCGTTGTATTATTATCAAGTACGACTATTATTATAATATATGGTGATAATGTTTTTATTGTATTTTTTGAATTTTAATTCTAAATTTACATAATATAGGTATATACAATTTTGAGTGATACGTTTTTCGGACTGTCTTCCTTTCAAAATTTGATTTCAGATTTAATTTTTAAATATTTTTGTCAACGATATTTTTTTTTACTATATATTATATTATATATAATGGCAAAGAGGAAGAAGAAGAAGAAGAAGATATTTATCTTAATATTTAATTTTTATAAATGAAGTATGAAATTTATTTGAAAATATATCCAAAACAGAATATAAAAATGTACACTCATTAACATATATTGTTATTTAATATTATACATCATAATCTAAGCGAAATACTATTAAGTATACCTACCTACGCGAATATTTCTTATGTTTTTTAATTCATCTGTGATAGTATCAATAGTGATATCATTAATAGCAAATATATCTAGTCTACCACATCTCATCAACCGATTTGCGAAAAAACTGATCGATTCAGATAACGGAGGATCCAGAGGAGGGACGATTTGTAGTAATGGCCTCCCCTTTCGCTCCTATATTTACTTTTAGTCCCAATGTATTTTGAACTTGATTTCATAATGTGTGTGTGCCTTATATTTATTTTCCAAATATCTCTAACACCCTTCGATGGATGTTATCAGTAACATCACAGATGGATATTAAGAAACATGGGATTGTTAATAAATTATTGCGGTGGCCAACAATTTTTATTTTATTTTGCTAACATAAATATTTCTGATTTCCGTGTACGGAACAAAAGCGTGTATGATTATTAAATAAATAAATAAAGAAGTATCAAGTATAATATAATAATATATAAGTATAATGAAACTCTCTCTATATAGGTAGCTAATTTACCAAATAAATATTATATTTTAAAAATGTTCTATTTAGTTACTTGAACGTTTCGTTTTAAATTTAAATTTATTTTTTAAAACTATTACATGTATTACAACGATATATATGTATAGCATGATAATATTTATGTGTTTTGTATGAATGTCTAATTATACTAAACAAAAATAATTGTAATAATACATGTGTATTTGAAATATTTAAAACCTCGTGGTTTTTCTCAACGGTAGGTAAACCGTACAATCTGTACCTATTTTGTTTTTCCTCTAATACATGAATGATTGAATATACGGTTGACATGAGTTGACAAATAAAAGAAGCCATTCAATGGTGACACTGTTTAAGCTTAATATTAATTATGGTTTACTATTTGAAATCAAGAGGCCTCTGCACTATTTATGAGCTATCCGTCTAAGTGGATTTCTGGGGATATTGTCAGAAACTAGTTTTCTGAGGGGGGTTCATATGGTTGATTTGGTATAACCCAAACGGCTCTCATCCATTGTTTATTGGTTTCCAAACAACTCTCATCGAAAAAGATTTCATGAGTACATACATTTCCAAAACGGCTTCGGTATTCGACAAAAAAAAAGGAGGTCATGAAATTTGTGTAGAGGATTGTGAATAATTTAACTCCTAATGAAAACGTTGTATAGGTATGCTAGTGATGTCAATTATCCGGATTTGAACATACCGGATAAACCGGATATCTATCCGTTTATTCGAAATCCGAATTATTCAGATAATTCGGATACTCCGAATAATTTCATAATAATTCAATAATTTCTTACATTATTAATTTTAAACAATGTAAATATATTTAAATGATTAATTCACTGTACATTATTGATACAAATGTAATTTTTGGGAGCGATGCTAATTATTGTCAAACAAATTTTATCAGTAATTTTATATAATTATTATTACATAATAATTATAATTTTATACAATAATAATAAGTGCTTTAAATAGGTATATATTGATTTACGTTAGTCGATGACAGTAGTAGTTTTGGTAATAACATTTGGCTATATGTATACGTCATAACTAAATGAACTTAGGGTCGGTTGATTAAGCGGGTGGGCAATTAATCAGAAACGTTTACCTATAGAAGGTAGATTCAGTTTTGTATATAGTATTTAAATATGTCTATTCAAACTGTAAAGTGTGATAGGAAACGTAGAAAGGTGCGCCCATTATCAGGCGAAGTGTAGTTGACTAGAATGATTGAGTTATTTGTAAGTTAGATAGTTTGATGATCACAACTGTTGTTAGCAGTAATTTATAGTATAGAATTTATTTATTTTAGATTCTGAGTGTAGCGAGAATGTATTGGTTTTACAAAGATATTTTTTTATTTTTTATGTGAATACATTTTCTACCAGAAAGCTTACTCTGATGTATATGACAAACACCATTTTTCCGAAAGGAAATTTTCTTGGGATGGTACTTTCGGGAAATCATTTTTTGATTTTCCCGACAATTTTTTCAATAAAAGGGTAAAAGTGAGAAAAAACGGGAAAATGTACAAAATATATTAGTAACATATTAAGATTTTTTTTTTATGGACAACTTTTCTACCAGCAATTTTGATCCGATTATCATTGATAGCACTTTTTCTAAAAGGAAATCTGATTGGGGAGGTACATTAGGGTAGTCATTTTTTCAAAAAATAATTCTTTTTGAGAAGATACTCTCCTCTATAAGAGAATAAAAGTATGTCAAGCATTCTATGCCACATTCTTTCTGTTTATTATTATTTTTTCTCCGTTTACTTAAATTTAGTAAAAATATCTTGTAAATCGATGATTTTTAACGTGATGCATCTTTGAGAATCATTTGAACACCGAATATGAACAGAGACAGAGTGACCGGTCTGGAAATGGGAAATGGAAATTTTCCAGATGATCTGGACCATATTATGGCTCTGTGGCTTGATTATTTTATTTTGGTAACATAATTCTTACTGGTATTTAAAAAAAAGTAAATATATTTTGTATTATTTCAATATACTGTTCAAATATTATACTATTATTAACGTATCTATCATTTTGAATACAATGTATGAGCAAGCATTGAATACAAAAAGTCAAAATATTATATAACTACAAAAATGTTGATTATAAACAGAAACATTGTCATGCGTCGAATTGCTATAAAATAGAAAAATAAAGGTTTGAAATCAATGATAAACCAATTTAAGAATCAGAAAAAAAAATTTA